GTACTGTCCCAACCACCAATAGTTCTGTTGTGATATCGCCGACATTTATTTATGCATGCAAACTTGCCTATTTCCCGGAATATAGCTGGGCTTGACGGTCCCGCGATCAAAAATGATGGGGAGTGCGCCTGAGCAACGTTGGCGTGTTGGTTAACCACTCCTTCGTGAAAAAGACGCAGGAAGAAAACGGGCCCCGATACCTCGAATGGGACGCTTTCCGATCCGAGTTGCACGAGCCTAGCCCCTAGGGAGGAAGTGTTTGGATAAGTTAGCTTATTTCTAGTATCGTGACGGCATAATAAGAGGGCGTATTATTGCTGTGGATTCCCCAATAGGAGGCTCAATTTGGTCGGGGAGGAGGGGAGAGGGTGTGTCCAGTCAGGGAGAAGTTTGTTTGATACGTTGAATGCTTTCATCGTTTCACAGGGACCCTAAATTTAGCAGGCGTACGGCTAGATGTGGCCAATGTTGGGAGAGAGGGTCTTATTCGTTCTGGCTTTCAGAGGGAGGTCGTTGACTTTTCATGGTTTCTCCCGTTTCAGGTACGAAACCACGTCTCAGAACCAGAACAGAGGTCCCAGTCATACACTAGCTGATGATTACAGAAAGCTTTGTGAAGTCAAGGGGACTGTTCGGGTAGGGCAGGAATGCTTGAAACGTGATTATTCACAAGGGGGGGGGAGGAACTCGGATTACTTATCAGAGGCAATGCTCGCGATAAAGTATATGGACAGTAGGTGCTCAGTGAACCAGGGACGCGGTTCTCCCGTGAAGAACTAAGCAAAAAACTCCGAAAACACCCCAAACTAGACTCCTCCATGGCATTACGCAGCCCACATTGTACGAGCTCCAAACTTGCTGGTACAAAACCCTGCGGCCTCTGTGCAGCCCGTGGCTCACGAACCCTACCTTTGGAGAATAAAAAACAGACAAAGTTCCCAACGGAAACAGCGCTGGAAAACCCTGCGTATGTAATAAGGCCTGCGGTAAGCAGTGCACGACCAACTTTTGATGAATGGTGATGAAGGTAAGCGGAGCAAAAAGGTACCTGTTTTTCAAAGTAATCTGCTATTGCTTGTTTATTCCCGAAAAAGAAAGCCTGGGAAAGTAGAACGACCAGGACTCCGCAAAGATAGACACGCTATGATTCCATGTGGCCAGCCCGTGAGATCATCCTACGACGCTGCAGGCAACGTGTGCGATAACCGATGATGTTAAGTTGTTGTCTAGTTGTCCGGAAACGGTAATGTGGTCGAAAGTCAGGGTCGTTGTCTGCACACACGTGAGAGTGGAAGCGATCCCTGTCGGGGCAGCAGTTATGCCACGCAAGATTTGCCGCCGTAATGCTGCCATAGGCTAAGGGAAAATGGTAAACCCATCTTTTGGATCCTGGTCGCCATGTGTTGGGGAAAAAAAGGGTTTGTAGCTGCCGTGTGCACCTACTTTCTGCAGTCAAAAAAAAACGGGCTAGAGTCCAAAGTTTCCAATAGTTTATGGAGACGATCCTTCCGAGAACTCCATTCCCTGGGCTTATCTATGTCCAACATGTCCCTGCTATGCTCGACATGTTTGGGCTTCACCCATTCCTCATTCTTCCACTCTCCAACCGTCTGCCCTTTTCTGAATACTACGCCTTGATCAGTGTTGTTGGTCACTGGTAAAATTGGTTCATGATCCTCAAGATGGCGAATTCCGTCTATCAAGAGTGGATGTTGTGCCGAGAAGACAGCCGTTTCGGACTGATATGTATGAGCGCACGTTACCAACAGAAGCTTTGCCGCTAATGGGGGAATAAAGATTCTCTGTTTAACCTCAGTTACTTCAACGTCCTCTATTTGAATCTAGTTTATTTGAATGCTCAATGTGTTTTTCTTCTCCATCTTAAACTAATTTCATCTTAAAGCGTTCTAGTGCGTTGGTTCCTAATATTACTATTTCCGAAGCCCTTACCAACGTACACAGGAATTGATTCCTCCTGTCCGTTAAGGATTACGGACACTCTTATGGTATCAAGAAACTTCATGCAGTTACCCGACGCGTCCCTTACTTTTACTTTCGGAGAAGGTATCCGCTCGACGTAATCCTCAAGTTATCCCCGCATCTATCGCCTGAGCAGCATTGAAGAGACTATGGTCGCTTGCGATCCCGTATCCAAGAATGCCTCTGCCGACATGCCAAATATTGTAATTTCAACTACTGACCGTTTACCGAAATAGTCAGTTGAGACCTCGGCGGTTCCCGTGTCTGCAGAGCACATCCACCTTTCAACGCGCGACGCGAAAGGTTCCGGTGGCTTTCTCGTTCTGCTGTGTGGGTGTAGGGTCTTATTCTGCCCGAGCTGGCAGCCGACAGTCTTTAGCAAAATGCCCTGGTTTCCCACAGTTGTAGCACGACCGCAAGTCTTTTGCTGTGCTGTTTCTGCTCTTTTGTCCGCTTCTTGGACCTGCTCTTTCCTGCGTTCTTTTCCGCGTTTGTCCCCGACTCGGACTTGTTGAGGCCTAAGAAGGATCTTGGTTCGTCTTTACTCCGCTCCCAATTTGACTTGAATCGCTGTGTAGGCTTCGTCCTAGGAGCATTTCTGCATTCTGCTCAGAATGGTGCGCATTACCTCGTTTACTAA